AAGTGTATAAATCTCACATTAAACATAGGCTGACTGACGAAAATGAAACGGCGCGAGTCCAACGTCGGGAACATCGACATGGATTGCCGCGCGCATAGCCTTTGCCCGGCCCACGGATCTAAATTTACAGTTCCATGACATGTTCGACTACACTTTACGTGCACGTCGATGAGATTTTTTCCATGCCACGTGGGTTGAGGCCCACCTGAACCTTTTACCTAGTGATACCTCCTGATCTCTCGACCAAATGCAAATGTTTCATCACCAAAGCGATGTTCTTGACAGCTGTGGCAATTATTCGTACGGATAATTGAATGCATACATAAAACAATATATCCGTTTGCGCCAAATGTACCTGAGCCCCTTGTACTATATTTACATACAAAACGACCCAAAGAGAACACTTGGTTTAAATATAATTACTTGGTTTAAATATAATTACTTGGTTTAAATATAATTACTAGATTATTTCTGCACCCATCGACTATCCGAACCGTAGTTTTTGTGTGGGGCTTGTACAGGCATTGAAACGACTGTTTCTTTACAAAGAAATGTCAATTCAAAAGATGCTAAATGCAAGTCAAGTTGTTGTAATATATAAATGTGAAGATTACCCTCTCCCGGCATCCTAGGTAGTACATAGGAAAATGGCACTTGGACTAGATTATCAACCACGAACGTCCATTCACTTTCACGCTAGCATCCTTAAGGTACGTGACCAGGGCACAACAGAATGTAGAAACTCAAGACGACCAAACATCAATCGCTATGCCAAAGCGATCAAGCTAATTGGTCGCTAATTCGTGCGAGGTTCAACAGCATGACTAACTTTCATAATCATCGTGCCGCGCAAAGTTCGACGTAGAACCAAAACCTACGATCACAGATCACATCGTCAAAAGCTACCTACCATAGTACAGCGACAGTGCGGTGAGGAAGGGGCACTTCGTCTGGTTCTTCGTTTGGGACTAGGACTGTGGTTGGAGGTGCGGACGTGGGTACATACATCGAATGAGTCTAATTATAGTTGCAAAGAGGTTGTGATAATGCTCGATCTGATACACTGGACACGGTCCCGACCGTAGATTCAAATCGAGTGTAGAATTTCGTCGCATCTAAATGCTCAGCGCGCGCAAATTCAAATCACATCTTTGGAAATATGCGACTCAATTGCCTCTAATTTTGAAAGTATTGGTTTTGAAAGTGGATATATCAATCAAACCCAAAGGATGCAAGACGAGGAACTTAACGCTTTACGTAAGTGTGTGGTTCTGTGCTACGTTTTCTGATGACCCGAAAGTCAGGTTCTTGATCACCAATTCTGTGTTATAGCGTTTTGAATTCAGGAGAAAAAATGTAGATCGTGGGTATAGAAACGGTATGACAACTCAAAGTACTCTAAATGGAAAAGTAACAACTATTAATAAATATCAATAGCAGATTTCGATTCCGTGTCATTTTATTCGGAGACACCTTCTCTTAACTGAAATCATTCGTTGTTATCCGAACGTTATCAGGATGCCAATAACTCAATGACCTCATAGTCCACGAGACCAGGACCAGGATAACTTTTGAAAATCAATTATCACATTGCAGAGGGATAGTTTTTTTTTAATGCTCAATCTGACAGAACCTGTAGAAATACAAAATCAAATTGTATAACATTTAGAGAAATCATATTCGACAAAATTTAGCCTTCGCTGTCACAACCACTACTCTCGCTAGATGAAGACGAGTCGTCATTGAGAGATGTGTCGCTGTTGCTTGCTTGGTCATAGCAAATAGGTTCCACTTCTTCGACAACACGGAGCGCCTGGTGCAGAGCAAGGAGATTTTCCGTCGATGATTTGATAGTATTGCAGTTGACACAGGAGTCCAACTCGTGAAAAGCACGCCCCAGCCGGTCGTAGACATCTTGAATGGTTGAAAGGTCGTATTCGAGGTATACGCACGACCGACTGTACCCTTCACGTTGGCACACACCGTTTTGATTGGCTGTAGCTCGGGCAACCCAGGTGCTGTGTAGACGACATGATGGCCACGCGATCGCGCCATGGACACCACTACAGGAGGGACATGCTCATCCACGTGCTTCTTCAACGTCTCCCAGATAGTCGATTTCAGGTCAGTTGGCGAAACATCCTGGAGTTGGTACGGTACACAAGCTTCGTAGAGCGCGCATTTCTTCCATGTTCCCTCAGGCGTGGACTTCGGCATGCCCTTGTGATATTTGGCATTATCCATGACGAATACCGCCGACGCCCGCCCCAGTTCTTCAACTTCGTCAAGCAGCTTGTCGAACCAATCATCAGAGTAATCATGGTTGAACATTGAATTGTAGTCTTTCGCCGTCTTGCCATTCTTCTTCCCACCAACGAAAATGTCCAGACCGAGCAGGTGGGACACGTCGGAGCCGTCATCAAGGATACCGGCGATGAAGCAGTATCGTCGCCCTTTGTGCTTGGGCTTCGTCATGGTGTCATCGGTAGGATCATGCAAGCTGTTGGCATGCCGAGCGTAGTGGTGGTGAATGAAGCACTCATCAAGGTACACAACAGGTCGACGGGATGCAATCGTCACGGTAGGCACAATTGCACGTACGCGTCTCGTGCCTCTTCATGTGCTTTTTTCATTCGGTACTCCCTCACGCCAGACCGCTTGCCACGGGCGTAGCCTTGCTTGGCTAGGAAGGCTTGAACAGCGCGAAGACATGCGGCATAGTCCTTCTCATTGTCGTTGACGACACACACAACACTGCTCTCAACAAGATAGGACAAGACGTCCTTGGCAACGGTGCGGGTACGGGTCACACAGCGGTCACGGATGAATCGTTGAACGAGTCCGCGGACAGCATGGGTGTCAGGTACACGAGAACGATGGTTTGTAGTGTTGGATGGAGGAAGGGCCTCCGAAATAGTCCCAGCGGTCAGAAACACGGCAAGGACGCTCTTCACACGTCAGTGACGTTTGCTGTATTGACCTCACGAAGGTTAGCTTGCAGCCACAGGATGTCCAGCTTTTCGTCAACAGTCAAGCTGCGCCTGCAGCGCAACTTGACAAAGGTTTTGATGCGTTGAATCGTCTCCACATCCATTTTGACTTTGACAAATTCGCTTTTGCGCCATAAGTTCGTCTATTCGCGAAAAAGGGTGGGAAACGATCGGCCCAATCAAGGCCGTGATTTTGGCACTTATTTGACGTAAATAGGATAAGAAATGAGTGAAATAGGTCAAAAGTAGTGATTTTCAATGTAATTTGTACAGCTATTTTGAGTCACCCATCTCGTTTGTCATATCAAGTTTTAAGGGTATGGCAAAGATTAATGCAGAAAAAAATCCTCACCTCTTGCAAGATAATATATATTGTGTTTCGCAAGTAATCATTCTTCAAGTGCGGAATCCTCGTCATTTCTCACAGTTTATCTATCATTTTGCGAAACGAATTGTGTTCCAGAATCTGACGGAGGCATAATCTTATTCACAGGAGGAGCAGAAGAATCTGATGTACTTTCAATCATGCAAATTAACCAAATCTATCCATAAAACCTCTTCTGGTCCCCTCGATGGTCTCGTGGATTGTCAGTCTATAAATACTGTCACTTGCGACGGTAAAGTTTAGAGTTGCCTTCCATAACCATCATATTCCTTTCACTACTTTCACGTCGAAGCTCATCTGTCTTTTTTGGCTTGCGCAGTTGTTAGCCTTTATCTGCTGCAACCATTTTCTTTTTTAGTGCTTCTTCCCTTTGTTTTTTCAATTCCTTGTCAGATATTTTGCACGCAATGCCATCGGCAGAGATCAAACAACCCCCGTGAAGCCTATCATCATCACTCTTGACCACAGGGTTGCGCACCTTAAGTGACCCAAGAGACTGTCATTGAAGCACAGCACCTTGTAGTATCGAGATGAATGCCGACTTCTCGCAGTGTTACGACCAATCTTGGCCATGGCCTGCATCGACGCATGCGTGCCATCACTCCGTGAAACGTCCCCCTGGTGGCTTGCTGACGATGAGCGACATGGAGTACAATGACAACATTGCTACTGACCGTGTGATTGTGGAAAACTTATTTGGTACTTTGATGGTGATAATGAGTGAGACTATGATAGTGATAGTGATAGTGAGTGAGACTTTTACATGGAAGCGCGAGTACTATGATCTATACCTTCAAACTTGTGTTGCTCTCACTAATTGTCACGTTCGCCTATCTCCCTTGCGAGTGGAACACAGCTATGAGCGCAACCGGTACAGTATTTGAATGGCCTCATCTCATCGAGCGAAAAGAAGAAGCCAAGCGTACCGTTGCAGTGAAGAAACTTCGCGAAAAACGCAAATTGCGTCTGGGTACGTTTTTGCCGAGTGGTGAAAATGTCTACTTCAACTCGGACACTGAATTTTATCCAAGTGGTGAGGATAGTGGTGTATTTTAATAAAAATGTGTGATCAATATTTGTTGACAAAGTCCTTCAATCTTAACTGAATTATTCACGAAACCACCACACACATTAGAAACCACTTGACACGATTGGAAATGACTGAGTCAATTACGAAATAGGTCATCACACATTTTTGTACAAAATCGTTTTCGAAGTCACTTCGTGATTTCCGAATTTACAATGCATCGTGTCAGTGGCCCAATAATTGGTTGAGTGGTCTACTGATTTGGCGGCAAAACATCCCGCGAAAAAAATTTGCCCATACAGCCTGTTAGCCATGGAAAATGTCCGTGCCAAGCGCAGCAATGTTGATGTTTTCCAGTCCCACAGCGAAAATCTCGCCAAGGTTCTGAACGGCAATTCATTGTATCCAAACTGCGTTTGGAACCTCCACGAAACCAGAGGGCCGGCCCAGGGGTCCCACTACAAATACAAGGTGCTTGTAATGAAGCGCATGCCAGAGAACACACAGCGCCAGGACTGTAAGAAGAACGTCGCAGTACTGGTGTGTCAATGCAATGGTGGTCATGTCCCCCGCTCTTCATTCTGCCGAAAGCAAACGTATTCAAACGTACCTCGCTTGGTGGTGTAATGGTTCGACGTTTGCTGTATCGAAGACTTCGCTCGTATCCACGAAGCTGTGAGCTAGTATTGAGTTTTTCGAGTAGTTCGTCATATAGGTTCCAAGACCCGTCCTTCTGCTGATGGTCATGTACAAGGCACATTGGTCAAACAAGACGATCGACTACGCGAGGTCCCACGGAATTCTTCTGTACGGCACGTCATCGCGCACGTCGCATATCTAAAACCGCTCGACGTTGCTGCGTTTTGCCATTTAAGCGACTGCTCGACGTTGAGTAGGCACGGTTTCGTGTTGACCACAAGAGGTTTGCTTGAACGTAGGACATGGTGTCCGCGGCGTCCAAGGCTTAGTCTCGGTGCCTGACTCGAACATACGTCGTCAATGGATTTGACACGACAATGGTGTGTCCCTTGTCTCGAGACGTCGTGCTGTTGTCGTCGACATACCTGGTTCTAACGCCGCCTTCAACAGGATTACGGCTACTGTGTGCGTTAAGACAGGGTACTCGTTATTGAAGAAATTTTTTGAAATGGATGGCCTGAGGAGCCTCTCTG